GAATGTGTTGTGTACTGATCAATTGTAAGGACTGAAATAATTATATTTGAGTTACTATGAATTTTGCTGGGTTCAATGAATACGAATTTTTTTTAGATATATCAAAAGTGCTATGGGGCTGCTTAAGCTTTTTTAAGGTAGAAGTTAGCTCTGGGTTTTTGCTGCGGGAGGGAATAGTTAATTCGTGAATAGTTTTGTGTTTGTGTTTGGACAAAATTGTGATTTGATCCTTTTGGATAATGGCAATATACCAAATATTTTCTGTGGATTTTTTTTTCAACTTTAGTTTTAAATTAATTGCTGTTGTTGTTACTTGATAAAAGTTGGCCCTAGCATTCTACAGCTTTTTTGAGTTATAAATTTTTATCTAGGTGATGAAAAAAAATATAAGGAATAATTAAAATTTTCTAATGAATTTGTTATGATTTAAATTTTGTTGAGGAAGAATTTGAATTTATAATAAAAAATGATTAAAATGCAAGTAGTTTTGTGCTTGGGTATATGATGATATCAAAAAGCAATCGCGAGTCAAGCAATTAATTGTTCTTGCGGTATATAAATTATATTATTTGTTATTTTTATTTGCTGAAGAATTGTGTCAATGTCTGGAGTATATCGTCAAAAAAAGACGTATAATTTGTGTATATCGTCTTTAGGATGTTTTGCTAGTATACTAATATGATCTTTTCCAGTGTTAGTGATATACCATATGATGTTAGAGACTTTATTTCCTAATTTGAGCTTCAAATTTTTTGTACTGACGTCAATCTTAAAATGTGCTGAGATTAATTTTCACGGTGTTTCCTTTCTTTTTCTTAAGCTAAGTTGTACCATTTGATTTGTATTTTTTATAGTAATGAAAACCTCTTAGGATTTGTTGATTATTAACAAAAGTTATTAATAATGAAATAAGAAAATAAAAAAAAGATTTGGAAAAAAGCATTTCTAAAAATTTTCAAGTTTTTTGAGTTTTTGTTCGCTGAAACTTTAGCTGAAACCTGAAACTTTGCTCAAGTGAAATTTTATTGATGCCTTTGTTATGATTAACAGTTTAATTTTATGCCTTTTTAGGTTATTACTGGCTCAGAACTTTGATTCTTTTGTTAATTTTTTTAAAATTTTTTGAAACTTTAATCTTAAACTTGAAACTATGGTAGGTGAAGTTAAGTTTTTTAAACTTAAGTTGTCTAAAAGGTATAGTATACTTTGTTTATGCTTAAACTTGCAAAAAATTTTGAGAAAAAGGAATCTTTTGATATCTTAAACCTAGTTTTTGAAATCTCAAACCTAAAACCCTTAAACTTTCTCCAACTCAGTGCATGAAAATAAAAAGTTGGTTTTTGATAGCTGGTCTAGTGTAAATTAGAATTATGAACAAGTTTGTAACTACAAAATGACAAATTTGTTTGTGGAAACCCAAGTTTTTGAGGCTGAAACTATGATTTCTAGAACTGAAACTATGGTTTGACCACTTGGTTTTAGAAAGTTACGATTGAAAATTTAGGTTGGTATCTCTTATATTTTTCTATTCCAGCAATAAAATTGCCAAAAAGATGAGAATTTGATAAAAAAACAACGATTTTTAGTTTTCTGAAACAATAAGTTTGTGGGCTCAAACTAACACCTTCCAGAAGTTTTTGAGTTTAAAAATTTGTTAGTGCAATAAAGATTCCTATTATCTTTCAATATTTTACAAAAGTTTTACTTGGGAAGCAAGATTTTTGGGTCTGAAACCAAAAACACCAATTCTGAAACGTACATTTCAGCCTTAGGAACCAAATTTTAAAACTGGTTTGGTGTATTTTAACACCGTTAGTTTTCTCTAGAAAGTCAAAATTCGGCGTTCGGAGCTCAATTTTGAGACCAAAAACTCAATTTTTGTGTTCTGAAACCTAAAACTAACAAAAACTTACCATTTAAGACCAGGCTGATGACTCATGGTATCCAATTTTGGGTTCCAATAGTTGAACTTTTGCTGTTTTACCCGAAACCGTTTACAGAAACTTAAAAATGTGACCGGAAACTACACTTATTTTAATTGAAACGTTTGACCCTAAGCTGAAACCTAGACTGAAACCAAAACGTTTGGCTGGTAAAAATCAATTTTCTAGTGCTTAGGCTATCATATGGAACCTAGTTTATCAATATAAGGTGGATGCGTCAGTGTTCTAGCTTTATTTTTTTGCTGTGAAATCTAATGTTTTTGTGCTGAAACTAAAATTTGGTGTTTGGTGTTACGGGGTTAACGTTTAAGATTGGTTCTAGTGCGTATTTTGAATGTTTATTAGACGTATATTCAAACTAGGTCATAAAAAGGCAATGATTTAGTTAAAAACACCCAAATCCGTTCCTTCTTTCTTCGCTTTTTTTATTTCCTCTCTTAGTTTCAGTATTTGGTAGCTTAAATGATGGATGCTTAGGTTTAAGTTACATTAAGGTGGGTAAAAATAAAATGAGTTTACAGGAAATTGAGGATAAGCCTCGATAAATGATGAAGGATTAGAATAAATAGCAACAAGCGTGAATGGTTGGATTTATTGTGATGAAGAATTCAATTTATCATACAATTTAGGGTACTCCTAGATTGCACATATGACCACTTAACGCCTCGAAAAAAGGAATAAAGAGATTTAATAATCACTTTGATCACTTTAGTTGATCACTTGAGTTGAATACAGGATTTCGTTGATTTTAGTAATGATAAACTGAAGTTTCGGCATGTATTTAGTGGGTTACTGGACAAAAACGGTATATCTTACTAGCAGACTTAGGCAGAAAACGATTCTTTCAGAAATTTTATATATTATTATAATAATGGATAATAGTTAAGTTCATGAGCTAATGTCAGTTAGAAAGCCGTATAATAGACCTCGAGGTGGTGGAATATCGCGGGCGACTTAGCGCAGAGGGATACTTATCGCATGAACCCTACTATTTGTTATTTTTATTTGCTGAGGAATTGTGTCAATGTCTGGAGTATATCGTCAAAAAAGACGTATAATTTGTGTATATCGTCGTTAGGGTATTTTGCTATCATACTAATATGATCTTTTCCAGTGTTAGTGATATACCATATGATGTTAGAGACTTTATTTCCTAATTTGAGCTTCAAATTTTTTGTACTGACGTCAATTTTAAAATGTGCTGAGATTAATTTTCACGGCGTTTCCTTTCTTTTCTTAAGCTAAGTTGTACTATTTGATTTGTATTTATTATAGTAATGAAAACCTCCTAGGATTTTTTGATTATTAACAAAGGTTATTAATAATGAAATGAGAAAATAAAAAAAAAAATTGGAAAAAAGCATTTCTAAAAATTTTCAAGTTTTTTGAGTTTTTGTTCGCTAAAACTTTAGGTGAAACCTGAAACTTTGTTCAAGTGAAATTTTCTTGATGCCTTTGTTATGATTAACAGTTTAATTTTATGCCTTTTTAGGTTATTACTGGCTCAGAACTTTGATTCTTTTGTTAATTTTTTTTTGATTTTTTTGAAACTTCAATCTTAAACCTGAAACTATGGTAGGTGAAGTTAAGTTTTTTAAAATTTAAGTTGTCTAAAACCTATAGTATACTTTGTTTATGCTTAAACTTGCAAAAAAATTTCAGAAAAAGGAATTTTTGAATTCTTAAACCTAATTTTTGAAATCTCAAACCTAAAACACTTAAACTTTCTCCAACTCAGTGCATGAAAATTAAAAAAGTTGGTTTTTGATAGCTGGTCTAGTGTAAATTAGAATTATGAACAAGTTTGTAACTTCAAAATCACAAATTTGTTTGCGGAAACCCAAGTTTTTGAGGCTGAAACTATAATTTCTAGAACTGAAACTATGGTTTGACCACTTGGTTTTAGAAAGTTACGATTGAAAATTTAGGTTGGTATCTCTTATATTTTTCTCTTCCAGCAATAAAATTGCCAAAAAGATGAGAATTTGATAAAAAAACAACGATTTTTAGTTTTCTGAAACAATAAGTTTGTGGGCTCAAACTAACACCTTCCAGAAGTTTTTGAGTTTAAAAATTTGTTAGTGCAATAAAGATTCCTATTATCTTTCAATATTTTTCAAAAATTTCACTTGGGAAGCAAGATAGATTTTTGGGTCTAAAACCAAAAGCACCAATTATGAAACGTACGTTTCAGCCTTAGGAACTAAATTTTATAACTGGTTTGGTGTATTTTAACACCGTTAGTTTTCTCTAGAAAGTCAAAATTCGGCGTTCGGAGCTCAATTTTGAGACCAAAAACTCAATTTTTGTGTTCGGAAACCTGAAACTAACAAAAACTTACCATTTAAGACCAGGTTTATGAGTCATGGTATCCAATTTTGGGTTTCACTAGTTGAACTTTTGCTGTTTTACCCGAAACCGTTTACAGAAACTTAAAAATGTGACCGGAAACTACACTTATTTTAATTGAAACGTTTGACCCTAAGCTGAAACCTAGACTGAAACTAAAAATTGTGGCTGATAAAAATCAATTTTCTAGTGCTTAGGCTATCATATGAAACCTAGTTTATCAATATAAGGTGGATGCGTCAGTGTTCTAGCTTTATTTTTTTTGCTGTGAAACCTAATGTTTTTGTGCTGAAACTAAAATTTGGTGTTTGGTGTTACGGGGTTAACGTTCAAGATTGGTTCTAGTGCGTATTTTGAATGTTTATTAGAAGTATATTCAAACTAAGTCATAAAAAGGCAATGATTTAGTTAAAAACACCCAAATCCGTTCCTTCTTTCTTCGCTTTTTTATTTCCTCTCTTAGTTTCAGTATTTGGTAGCTTAAATGATGGATGCTTAGGTTTAAGTTACGTTAAGGTGGGTAAAAACAAAATGAGTTTAAAGGAAATTGAGGATAAGCCTCGATAAATAATGAAGGATTAGAATAAATAGCAACAAGCGTGAATGGTTGGATTTATTGTGATGAAGAATTCAATTTATCATTCAATTTAGGGTACTCCTAGATCGCACATATGACCACTTAACCCCCTCGAAAAAAGGAATAAAGAGATTTAATAAGTTTTTGATCACTTTAGTTGAATACAGGATTTCGTTAATTTTAGTAATGATAAACTGAAGTTTCGGCATGTATTTAGTGGGTTACTGGACAAAAACGGTATATCTTACTAGCAGACTTAGGCAGAAAACGATTCTTTCAGAAATTTTATTTATTATTATAATAATGGATAATAGTTAAGTTCATGAGCTAATGTCAGTTAGAAAGCCGTATAATAGACCTCGAGGTGGTGGAATATCGAGGGCGACTTAGCGCAGAGGGATACTTATCGCATGAACCCTACTAGGAATGTCTGTCAAGTAGAAGACAATGAAATTGTGTTTCTATCGAAAGACACTCAATGTCTTGTGGCTTTTTGAGGTTAAGAACTAATCTGACAAATACTCACAGATCCTTATAATAATGTTTTTTGAATTTTAAAAACTGTTTCGAGTTTGTTGGAAAAGATATTTCTTAAGGAGTAGTTCTCTGCTGCGGTCGCACCAGTTTTACTAAGCGTTCATTGCTGGTTGATTGCTTAGTAATTTTATCCTAAGTTATAAGTCTCACCTAAAATCGTCAGGTTGTCTTGACAAAAGCTAGAGTAGAAACAATAGTTAGAAAAGGTATGAATTAACTGGCTTGTTAAATACAAAGCACAGGGTTATTAGATTATATAAACGAATCGAACAGCTTAAAGAAATATACCTATGAGGGGAGGTTGAGTTAATCTTAGTTTGTACATCAATATTTTATCTTCTTACTAAGGTTGATGATTGTTTAGTATTCTTGGGTCACCCTTGATTGTGTCCAGTTCAGCACTTCTGTCTGGTTGTCTGTATTCTCCTTGCAGTAGTCCTTTTAGTCCTTATGGTCCGGGTTTCCTCAGTATTTTACTTATTGCAAAACTTAAGTCTTTTGTAGCAATATGATCTTTCAATTAATGCCAATTTGCGGGTGGATTCTCAATTAGAAATTGATGCTCTTTTTGTTTCAAGCCTGGCGGGCTCAAGCCGCGTACAAAGAATTCCATTTTCTTTGCTGTTCTTTGATCATCATTAAAAGTTGGATTAGGCCATCCACGGTCTACTGCGGTTGTTATTTATGTATGTAGCTTTCAATAATTTCATCAGGTTGTCTTTTTATGTTTTCTGCTTCTATTCGTCTTCTATACTTATCCTTATCATCAGTGAATCTATCAATGATTTGATCTCTTATCTCGTTCCAAGGTAAATGTGCTGCTAATCCTTGATACCATTGAGCGGCTGGATCTCTTAATATTGAACCAAATAATGCTCTTTGTCTGTTATCATATGCGTCCTGATCGTCATCTGCGTCTGCTGGTCTAGTTCCTAGGGAAAATGCTATCTTTTTTCTCCACTATATCAAGAAAATCTCTTGCATCTTCATTTGGATCTAAGCCGGTAAACTTTTTGAGAGCTAAATCTGGGTATGCTATTACTTTTACCATTTTTATTTAATGCACTTAAATTGTTGTTAACAATTTATAAATGTTTGAATGTGTTGTGTACTGACCAATTGTAAGGACTGAAATAATTATAATTAAGTTACTATGAATTTTGCTGGGTTCAATGAATACGAATTTTTATTAGATATATCAAAAGTGTTATGGGGCTGTTTAAGCTTTTTATAAATATTTATCTAGGTGATGAGAAAAAATATAAGGAATACTAAAAATTTTCTTATGAGTTTGTTATGATTTAAATTTTGTTGAGGAAAAATTTGAATTTCTAATAAAAAATGATTAAAATGGAAGTAGGTTTGTGCTTGGGTTTATAATGATATCAAAAAGCAATCGCGAATCAAGCAATTAATTGTTCTTGCGGTATATAAAATATATTATTTGTTATTTTTATTTGCTGAAGATTTGTGTCAATGTCTGGAGTATATCGTCAAAAAAAGACGTATAATTTGTGTATATCGTCGTTAGGGTGTTTTGTCAGTATACTAATATGATCTTTTCCAGTGTTAGTGATATACCATATGATGTTAGAGACTTTATTTCCTAATTTGAGCTTCAAATTTTTTGTACTGACGTCAATTTTAAAACGTGTTGAGATTAATTTTTACAGTGTTTCTTTTTTTTTCTTAAGCTAAGTTGTACTATTTGATTTGTATTTTTTATAGTAAAGAAAACCTCCTAGGATTTGTTGATTATTAACAAAGGTTATTAGTAACGAAATAAGAAAAACAAACTTTGGAAAAAAGCATTTCTAAAAATTTTCAAGTTTTTTGAGTTTTTGTTCGCTAAAACTTTAGGTGAAACCTGAAACTTTGTTCATGTGAAATTTTATTGATGCCTTTGTTATGATTAACAGATTAATTTTATGCCTTTTTAGGTTATTACTGGCTCAGAACTTTGATTCTTTTGTTAATTTTTTTTTGATTTTTTTGAAACTTTAATCTTAAACCTGAAACTATGGTAGGTGAAGTTAAGTTTTTTTAAATTTAAGTTGTCTAAAAGCTATAGTACACTTTGTTTATGCTTAAACTTGCAAAAAATTTGAGAAAAAGGAATCTTTTGATATCTTAAACCTAGTTTTTGAAATCTCAAACTTAAAACCCTTAAACTTTCTCCAACTCAGTGCATGAAAATTAAAAAAGTTGGTTTTTGATAGCTGGTCTAGTGTAAATTAGAATTATGAACAAGTTTGTAACTTCAAAATCACAAATTTGTTTGCGGAAACCCAAGTTTTTGAGGCTGAAACTATGATTTCTAGAACTGAAACTATGGTTTGACCACTTGGTTTTAGAAAGTTACGATTGAAAATTTAGGTTGGTATCTCTTATATTTTTCTATTCCAGCAATAAAATTGCCAAAAAGATGAGAATTTGATAAAAAAAACAACGATTTTTAGTTTTCTGAAACAATAAGTTTGTGGGCTCAAACTAACACCTTCCAGAAGTTTTTGAGTTTAAAAATTTGTTAGTGCAATAAAGATTCCTATTATCTTTCAATATTTTTCAAAAATTTCACTTGGGAAGCAAGATTTTTGGGTCTAAAACCAAAAGCACCAATTATGAAACGTACGTTTCAGCCTTAGGAACTAAATTTTATAACTGGTTTGGTGTATTTTAACACCGTTAGTTTTCTCTAGAAAGTCAAAATTCGGCGTTCGGAGCGAGCTCAATTTTGAGACCAAAAACTCAATTTTTGTGTTCGGAAACCTGAAACTAACAAAAACTTACCATTTAAGACCAGGTTTATGAGTCATGGTATCCAATTTTGGGTTTCACTAGTTGAACTTTTGCTGTTTTACCCGAAACCGTTTACAGAAACTTAAAAATGTGACCGGAAACTACACTTATTTTAATTGAAACGTTTGACCCTAAGCTGAAACCTAGACTGAAACTAAAAATTGTGGCTGATAAAATCAATTTTCTAGTGCTTAGGCTATCATATGAAACCTAGTTTATCAATATAAGGTGGATGCGTCAGTGTTCTAGCTTTATTTTTTTTGCTGTGAAACCTAATGTTTTTGTGCTGAAACTAAAATTTGGTGTTTGGTGTTACGGGGTTAACGTTCAAGATTGGTTCTAGTGCGTATTTTGAATGTTTATTAGAAGTATATTCAAACTAAGTCATAAAAAGGCAATGATTTAGTTAAAAACACCCAAATCCGTTCCTTCTTTCTTCGCTTTTTTATTTCCTCTCTTAGTTTCAGTATTTGGTAGCTTAAATGATGGATGCTTAGGTTTAAGTTACGTTAAGGTGGGTAAAAACAAAATGAGTTTAAAGGAAATTGAGGATAAGCCTCGATAAATAATGAAGGATTAGAATAAATAGCAACAAGCGTGAATGGTTGGATTTATTGTGATGAAGAATTCAATTTATCATTCAATTTAGGGTACTCCTAGATCGCACATATGACCACTTAACCCCCTCGAAAAAAGGAATAAAGAGATTTAATAAGTTTTTGATCACTTTAGTTGAATACAGGATTTCGTTAATTTTAGTAATGATAAACTGAAGTTTCGGCATGTATTTAGTGGGTTACTGGACAAAAACGGTATATCTTACTAGCAGACTTAGGCAGAAAACGATTCTTTCAGAAATTTTATTTATTATTATAATAATGGATAATAGTTAAGTTCATGAGCTAATGTCAGTTAGAAAGCCGTATAATAGACCTCGAGGTGGTGGAATATCGAGGGCGACTTAGCGCAGAGGGATACTTATCGCATGAACCCTACTAGGAATGTCTGTCAAGTAGAAGACAATGAAATTGTGTTTCTATCGAAAGACACTCAATGTCTTGTGGCTTTTTGAGGTTAAGAACTAATCTGACAAATACTCACAGATCCTTATAATAATGTTTTTTGAATTTTAAAAACTGTTTCGAGTTTGTTGGAAAAGATATTTCTTAAGGAGTAGTTCTCTGCTGCGGTCGCACCAGTTTTACTAAGCGTTCATTGCTGGTTGATTGCTTAGTAATTTTATCCTAAGTTATAAGTCTCACCTAAAATCGTCAGGTTGTCTTGACAAAAGCTAGAGTAGAAACAATAGTTAGAAAAGGTATGAATTAACTGGCTTGTTAAATACAAAGCACAGGGTTATTAGATTATATAAACGAATCGAACAGCTTAAAGAAATATACATATGAGGGGAGGTTGAGTTAATCTTAGTTTGTACATCAATATTTTATCTTCTTACTAAGGTTGATGATTGTTTAGTATTCTTGGGTCACCCTTGATTGTGTCCAGTTCAGCACTTCTGTCTGGTTGTCTGTATTCTCCTTGCAGTAGTCCTTTTAGTCCTTATGGTCCGGGTTTCCTCAGTATTTTACTTATTGCAAAACTTAAGTCTTTTGTAGCAATATGATCTTTCAATTAATGCCAATTTGCGGGTGGATTCTCAATTAGAAATTGATGCTCTTTTTGTTTCAAGCCTGGCGGGCTCAAGCCGCGTACAAAGAATTCCATTTTCTTTGCTGTTCTTTGATCATCATTAAAAGTTGGATTAGGCCATCCACGGTCTACTGCGGTTGTTATTTATGTATGTAGCT